CTGAAGAAGGAGCCCTTTTCGTTGGGGAGGGGCTCCGTGTTCCTTAATTTTTTCGCAGCTTGCCTTGGATGTTCCTTAGGTTTCCGATACGAGATCGGAGTTTAACTTATGGAGAATGGGGGCCTCGTTCCTTATTTAGGGTTCCTTGGGTCAACGCCTCGACTGTACGTGAGCTGATTCTCACCCCCCCCCTTTGCTATCCCCCCCTTCCGCCCGACCCGAGAGGCCGGCCGTGGCGCGGTCGTACGTGACGGTGGCGAAGTGCCCAGCGGAGGGGGAGTCGAGCGGTGGCGAGGCGTCCTTGGCTCGCCCAGAGCCTGTAGCCCTACCAAACACTGCTCTGAGAACCTTTTTTTGTCGCTGCCACGACGTATTCTTAGAGCACTTCTGGCTGAGATGGTCTTGTGTTAACACATCGGGTGCATGGTCTAGGAGCCTTGCTTTTGTTCTTAGAACGTGTTCGGGTTCCTGCTCAAGAGAGGGTACGGCTGGATAGCGATCGGGCCGAGGCGCGAGATGCGGTATCGTTTCACCGATATCTCCATCCCCATTCCCATCCCCCTCGAGGCCCCCACCAGATTACTCCCCCCCCAGTTGGGGATACGCCCCTCGAGACCCGAGGGGGACGGCCTACATCCCCATCTAGGGGGGGTAAATTGGCCAGTGGGGCCCAGGCCACGCCGCTGGGGATGGGGATCGGTTAAACGATACTCAGAGATCGAGGTCGGCTCGGGGAGGGTGCCCTGATCTTCTTCGTGCCTGCGGGGTGCTGTTGTGCATCCTGGGGTGGGGTACCCTTGGACGTGCTGCGTGTTTTGGCCGGCGGGGGGCATCATCTACTTGGAGGACATTATTCTGTCCTTGGTCCGGCCGTAACCCTTGGCGTCGGTCGTTGAAAGTCTGTACCTTGGGATACCCAGGTCCCACTCTAGCTTAGGCGCCTTCCTACTTCAAGAATCGAGTGGTTTTCCCTCCCTCCTTCCTCTTCAGGGGGTGTGCGGAAACCCAACCTGCTTCCAACGCCTTTCTACTTCATGCTGTTGCCCACTTCTTTCGACCGACGCGTACTACCGATAACGCTACCCTTGTTGCCACGGCCGGATTCGCGTCGAAATTCTGGTCAAGACGCACCGTTGGAGAGGTCTGGGGATCATCGGTATCGGTCCTCAACGGGGGATTCACGTCGAGGCGTTCTGGCGCGGCTCGAACAGCTGGCGCGTCTGGACCCCAGGAGGGGTCTCGGGGGCCCCTGATGAGTGGGCTTTGGTCAGCTGGCCGAGGTACTCCAGGGATGACGTCATGATGAAGTTGGACGGCTTCCACTCTGAGGTTTTCAGCGCGAACTGGGCGGACTACCTCTACCTGGTCTACAACGTGCCCTTCTGGGAGGCCGAGGCGGAGAGGCTGACGAGCTGCGTGCAGCCGTACCTCCACGAGGCGGCCGTGGGGGCGAAGTTCAAGGAGGTCCAAGAAATGATGGACGTCCTGTACGCTTGCGAGGACGTGCGTGACCACATCAACGAGCTGTGTGAGATGGGCACCCGTGCTTCTGGCTTCATGGGCACGGGCTGGCAGGCCGAGGAGAAGGTCGAGAACATGGACGAGAACGCCAAGCACTGCGCGGCAGCGTACGACAAGCTGCTGGAGAAGCACCCCACCTTCAAGCCGAAGATCGAGCAAACCCTCGGCCACGGCCTCGCCATCCTCCGCTCCAAGCACAAGTTCAAGTGGGGCAGCATGCACCGCTACTTCTTCTGAGCTGCTTGCCAGCGCCCTCCTGCTGGTGCCGCTGTCCTCCCCGGAGGAGAAGGGCTTTGACACGCCAGTGGACTAGCATGCGCGTTTTGACCGAGTCGGGTTCTTGGCAGATCGTGACATGACAACGTGGGCCTGTCTGAACGCGCTGCTTATGAAGCACACGGCGCCGCAATCGGTGGCACCGCGTGCCCCGAAAGTTTTTGAGGCTGGGCTGTAGCAGTTCGCTTCTGCTCCGCATGGGCACCTCCTGCAGGCTTCTCTCGTAAGCTGCGTCTCGCAGAAGCAGCATCCTGAGAGCGGCCTCCCGTTTCGGTGGGCCCCTGCCGGGACAGGGCCGCAGTCTGTGATGGTTTAACCCTCCGATCGACTTCTTCGCGGCTCTCTGCAAGCAGTCACGGTAACGCGATCATCTCTCATCCCCCGTCCTCCCATTTCCCCCACCTTCGCACTGCCCCTCCCCATCTTCATCCTCATACACCTCCTCCCTGGTCGGTCGGTCGGAGCCTACAGGCAGTCGGCACCGCCGCCTATCCTGAGCGCAAGGGGCAAAGAGCAAGGAAAAGCGGGATATCAAAAGAGCAGCAAGAAAGGCGAAACCGAGAAAGGAGACGTGTGCCCAGGCTCACCCCCTCCCGAACCCGCAGTAGTCTCGTCAATGGACAGAGGTGTCACTGGCGCGAGATTATCCGCCTCCCCTTCCTCTCCTCTTCGTCGTACTTCTCCCCCTCATCCTCCTCTCCCTGATGATCCTCCGACAGCTTACTCAAGAGGCTTACGCCATTCCGCCGACTCTCAGGAGAGGGATGAAGTCAAGGGGTGATGCCTTCGGGGGACTCTTTGAAAGGGCCTCTTGGGGGCCTCTTCGGGTCCCTTGGGAGTTTCTTGGAGGCGTGCTGGCTGTGTCGCGGGTCCTCTTGGGGCGGGGGGCTCAGAATGGCAGTCGAGTTACCTCTCTTGGGCCCCTCTTAGGCCCCTGTTGGGGCTCTCTTGGTCCATCTTGGGCGCCTCGTGGGCCATCTTGGGACCCTCTTCGGCCGTCTTGGGGCCCTGGGGGCTTCTTGGGCCGTCGTGGAGCGATCTTTGGGGCCTCTTGAGCCGTCTTGGACGCTGTTAAGACTAGAAAGGCGAACATGCTCCAAGGATGCGCTTTCCCAGTGTATTTTGAGGATTCTTGCTTCTTGGGCTCTGGGGGCGTCTTGGAGCCCTCTTGGGGCGTCTCTGAGGTCGCGCTTGGCCAGTCTGGAGGCCACTCGTGGTCGTCTTCGAGATCTCGGCGTGCGGGAGCCCGGCCTGAGCCATCCTCCATTGCATCTTGGGCATCCTGGAGGCCACGGAGCGTACAGTCGGGGCGCTAAACAAGGAACCCTTTTCGTTGGGGAGGGGCTCCGTGTTCCTTAGTTGTTTCGCAGTTTGCCTTAGGTTTTCCTTAGGTTTTCCATGGGAAATCGAAGTTCAATGTGTGGAGAAAAGGGGCATCGTTCCTTATTTAGGGTTCCTTAGGTCAACGCCCCGACTGTAGCTTGGGGGGCTCCGGAGGCCCCCGGGATGCGTTGACGAGCTCGTCCCCCCCCCCCCTTCCCCTGGCCTCACAAGGCCCAGAGGGCCCCAGGGGCTCAAAAACATTTCGTGAAGAGCTGCGGGCACCTCCGGCCAGGAGCACCTGCAGCGACCCCTTACAGGAGTCGGGCCTTCTCGAAGGGCTCGGGATGCCTCCAGCCTCGTGAAGCATGTTCTCCCCCACTGCCCCCCTCTCGGCATCGCTCGGACGTGTGCATTTTCCTTTCGGTGAGGACCATCGAGGAGCATCCTTGATCATCTGATCGAGGAGCATCCTTGATCATTTGGCGAAAAAACCACGCACGAAACCGATAAAAACACTGGGAATGGACGCCCGAGCGATGGCGAGAGGAGGCCCCCTGTGGCCCAAGCAGTGGGCGAGGACGGGTGCCCGCTGCTTCGCCCCCCATCCCCCACAGTCAACCCGCATAGGAAGCATGGGCAGCCTTCCCAAGGGCACCCTTGCATCCTTTCAGGGCCCCGAATCATCAGGGGTAACTCCGGTCAGGGATAACTCGGGTTCGTTTTTCGGGAATCCAAACCCGAGTTACCCTGGACCCGAGTTACCCCGGATAACTCGGGCGTCCAGAGCCCCGAATCATCAGTGGTAACTCGGGTCAGGGCTAACTCGGGTTCCTTTTTCGGGAATCCAAACCCGAGTTACCCCGGACCCGAGTTACCCCGGATAACTCGGGCGCCCAATCCTCGCCTCCTCGGCCTGTCCTCAGCGACGTCCGCTGGCCAGCCTCGCCCGAAAAACGTCAGCATCGCCTTCAAGGCCCTTGCCTTACTGTACAGTCGGCCCAGATGAGTGGGTCGACCCTGCCAGACCAAGGGTACCCTTGTGTCCTGCGTCTCGCGTCCCACGCTTCCTGCATTCCTGTGGCACTGTGGCCCTCGGGAGGGTCTTGTGTCCGCTCGGGTGTCCTGTCCAATCGAGTCCGACTGCACTGGTTGACTGTATCGCCTCCCCGTCAACGGGTTCCTGTACAAGGCGTTCCTTTGCAAGCACGTCGTTTTCGGCACCGCCTGATCCCGAGGCTTTGCCTCCTCCTGGCCTTGCCGTGAGGCCGCGCTCCTTCTGCCCCCCCCTCTTCGTTGATTCAAGCTTCGCGCGGCCCGCTCGGCTTCGACCGGAAGAGGTGCGCTCTCGACCTGCGAATCAAACATTGCATCGCCTCCCCGTCGAGCAACGCCCTTCGATGCCCGGCTTCCCCCCCTCTCGTTGGACTGCGCCTCCTCGCCCCGCGGCGGCGGCCGGAGCCCGGCGCGCGCCTGCCGCCTGTGGGCCGAGCGCGCAGAGAGTGCGGCTTGCCGCCCGCAGGGCCGGCAGCCGCATCCCAGCCTTGCGTCGGGCCTGTCCCTCTGCAGGGGGGGAAATTCAAACGTGGCCCCAAGAATAAGGGTAATTAGGGGGATCTTCGACGAAAAATCAAAAAATACCCCAAACATTTTTCAAAAAGGTTATAATAGATTGGGAAAATAGTCCCCAGACTTTTCTTGGAGCATTTTTGGATTATTTTGGAGGTATTTTTCATTTTTCGTCGCAAATCCTCCTGTAGGGGGACACGCCCGACTTAATAGTAGGGGGATAATGTTTTTGTAGGTTTTGTGTTTCCCCCAATATTTGATTAGTTGTCTTGGACTATTTTCGATTTTCCCTCGAACATCGGCCTGTGGGGGGACAGGCCCGACCTAATCCTAGCCGTGCGGAAGGGGCGGAATGGGCCTCACCACCACGTGCTCGTTGTCGCCAGTGTTCTCTTCCACGCTCTGCACCCTCTCCCCTCGGCGGCGGGCGAGGGGGGGAGCGAAAAGGAGAAGGCCCTCTTTCAGAAGGCGGCGGGGCTTCTCAGAAGCCCTCCGGCCTTCTGAGAAGTTTCCTGCGTTTTCGGGGAAGGCTCAGAAAATGTTTCGGGAAGCCTGAGGACTTCCGAGCCTTCTCAGAAGGCCCGCCCCATAAGGCCCGCTCCCTCTCATTCCCCCCCCCCCCGCATCGCCGCCGAACCAGGGCAAACGCCGAATCGGACGCGATGGGTTTTCCGTGGGGTTTGCCGCGGTGCCGGCTGCGTGTCTCTGGGGCGCGGGGCGAAGGGCTTTCCCTGGGTTTGCGGTGCTGTCGGCTTCTTACATCCGGGTGCGTCAAGAACAAGTGGCGCGACGACACATGCCCGTCGTCGCCAATTTCCTGCTCCACGCCCTCGGTCTTCTCTTCACTCACGCGCCCGTCAGAAATCACGGCGTTACCAGCACGTTGCCCTGCACAGCTAGCGCCCTCGGCGCGGCGCGGGTCGCCCAGAAGGAGGGGGAGGAGGAGGACAAGGAGGAGGAGGAGGAGGAGGAGGAGGAGGGCCGAGGAGGGAGGAGGAGGAGGGAGGAGGAGAAGGAGGAGGAGGGAGGAGGAGGAGGGAGGGGAGGAGGAGGAGGAGGAGGAGGAGGAGGAGGAGGAGGAGAACGGGGAGAGGAGACAGGAGACAGGAGAGGAGAGAGGATGAGGAGAGAGGAGAGAGTAGAGAGGAGACAGGAGGGAGGAGGAGGAGGACAACTTGGACGAGGACGAGAACGCCGACGACGACGACGACGACGACGAGGAAGATGGCGACGTCGCCCTCGGAAAGGCCATCCCCGGGGGCGCGAAGATGGTCGCGACTCGCCCGCCGCGGCCCCGCCTGGAGAGCCGCCCCTCTTGCGAGGACGCGGCGATGCCGGCGCACCGTGGGGCGCGCGGCGCGCGGATGGGGGGGGGCCCCGGGGGCGCTCCGCCCCTGGTGCCCGCTGCCCGGGCATGCGCCGGCTTCGCGCTGCTCCTCGGCTCGGGCAGTCTGCCCCGCCCTCGGCGCCCCTCCTCGGCGAGCGAGGACGACGCCGCCGACAGGGACGACGAGGACGACGAGGACGACGACAACGACGACGACGGCGGCGGCGGCGGCGGCGACGACGACGACTTGGTCGACCTGAAAGATGCCGACGACATGGACTTGGACGACGTCGACGACGACTGCGACGACGACGAAGGCGCCGCCGACGGCGAGGACGACGGCGACGTGGACAACATCCGCGACGACTACGACGACGACGGCGACGACGACTTGGACAACGACGCCGACGACGACGACGACCTGGACGACAACGACGACAATGACTCGGACGACATGGACGAAGCTGGCGGCGAGGACAACGACGACTACGACAACGACCACGACGACGGCGAGGACAACGACCTGGACGACGACGGCGCCGTCGACGATGAGTACGACGAGGACGACGACGACATCGACATGGACGACCTGGACGACTCCGACGACATGGACGAGGACGACGTCGACGAAGACTACGGAGACGACGACGACGTCGGCGACGTGGACGACTTCGACGACGAGTTGGACGACGACGACGACAAGACCGACAACGACGACGACAACCACGACGACGACGACGGCGAGGACGGCGACCTGGACGACGACGACGACGACGACGACGACGACGACCACGACGGTGACCTGGACAGCGTTGGCGACGCCGACGACGAGGACGACGATGACGAGGACGACGACGACGACGACGATTACGACGACGACGGCGACGAGGAGTTGCACGACTACAACGACCACCTGGACGACGACGCCGACGACGACGACGAGGACGACTACGACTACGAAAACGACACTTACCTTGACAGCGACGACGACGACAACGACGACGACGACGTGGACGTCGACGACGTCGACGAGGACAGCGATGACAACAAAGACCTGGACGACGACGACGACGACTTGGACAACGACTTGGACGACGACGACGAGGACGATGATGACGTCGACGACGACGATAACGACCTGGACGACCAGGATAATGTCGACGCCGACTACGACGACGACGACGTTGCACGCACGCGTTGCTTCGCCTCTAGCCCCCTTTGCCCCCTTCCGGCGATGGCCGAGGACGACGACGAACGCATTGTCGAGACTGCGGCGACGAAGAGGAGGGCGACAACGACGACGATATCGACGACCAGGACGACGACGAAGATGTCGACGACGACGACGACGAGGACGACGTCGACGACTTGGACGATGACGAGGACGACGTCGACGACGACGGCGACAACGACCTGGACGACCTGGACCACGCCGACGACAAGGACTTTGACGACGTCGACTGGGACGACGACGACAACGACGGCGACGTGGACGACATCCATGACGACGACGACATTGACGACAACGACGACGACGATGACCTGGACGACGATCACGACCTGGACGAAGTGGACGACGCCGACGACGATGAGTACGACGTCGACGACTACGACGACGACGACGTGGACGACGACCTGGACGTTGACGACGACGACGACAACGACCTCGACGACCTGTACGACGCCGACGATCTGGACGAGGACGACGTCGACGACGACTACGACGACGACGCCGCCGGCGGCAACGTCTACGACAACTTGGACGACGTCGACGATGACTACGTCGAGGACGATGACGAAGACGACGACGACGAGGACGACGACGATGACGACGACGATGACGACGATGACCCGGACGAGGACGACGACGACGATGACCTGGACGACGACGACGACGACATCGACCTTGACGACGTGGACGACGCCGAAGCTGACGAGGACGTCGACGACGACTACGACGACGTCGACATCTTCGACGTCGAGTTGTTGGACGACGACGATGATCACAACCTGGACGACGACGCCGACGATCTGGACGAGGACGACTACGACGACGACACTGACGACGACAACGACGACGACGACGTGGACGACGGCGATCACGAGGACAACGACGACAACTATGACCTGGACGACGACGACGACGGCGGCGACGACACGACTTGGACGACGACGACGACGAAGACGACGACCCCGACGACGAACATGATCACGACGACGGCGACCTGGACGACGACGATGACAGCATCGACCTTGACGACGTGGACGACACCGACAACGACGACGTGGACGTCGACTACGACGAGGACGACAACGACCACCTGGACGGCGAAGCCGACGACGAAGAGGACGACATCGACGACGACTGACAATCACGGCGACGACGCGATGACGACGACGACGACGCTGACGACGACGTCGACGAGGCCAAGTCGATGACAGTGACCTGGACGACTTGAACGACGACGGCGACGACTTTGACGACGACGACTTGGACGACCACGACGACGATGACGACGATAACGACGACGAGCACGACGACGACGACGACGAGGACGACGTCTATGGCAACTTCGACGACGACGACGACAACGACCTGGACGTTCTGGATGATGGCGACGCCGACTACGACGACGACGACGCTGCCCGCACGCGTTGCTTCGCCTCAAGCCCCCTTCGCCCCTTTGGACGAGGACAGAGGACGACGACGAAGTTGGGTCGTCGATGGCGACGACGGCGAGGACGATAACGATGACTTTGACGACGACGGCGACGATGGTGACGACGACGACGACGACGACGACGAGGAGATGGACGACGACGACGACGACCACGACGACGACAACGACCACGACGACGACGACGACGGCCTCGACGACGACAACGACGACGACGATAACTCCGACGTCGTCGACGACGACGAGGACGAGGACGACTACGACGACAACGACCTGGACGACAACAACGATCTGAATGACGACGACGACGCCCTTTGCACGGTTTCCCATGGGTTCGTACCCCCCATGCGCAGGACGACTGGGAGTGCGACGACTCGGGGGGGGACATCGGCGAGGTGCGCGTGCCGCGTCATTCCCCTCTGCAAGAGGTTTCCCCTCTCTTCGGCCTGGGCCGCTTCGGGGCTGTCCTCCTTCCTCCGCACTCCTGGTTCCTCCTCGCATCTCGGTCCTCGCTTCTCTCCTCCTTCCACTGCCCTCCTTCCCTCCTCCTCATCTCCTCCCTCTCTCTTCCGTTTCTCCTCCTCCTTCTTGTCCCTCTTTCTTCTTCTTGTTTTTTTATCCCTCCTTATCTCCTCCTATCTCTCCTCCTCCTCCTCCTCCTTCTTTCCCTTTCCTTCTTCCTCTCTCCTCATTTCCTCCTTCTTCTCGAATCCTCTTCTCCTCGGCATTCTTCCTCCGCCACCTCAGTCTTCCCGCCGCTGCCGCCGCCTCCGGCGCGCCGGCAACTCATTATCCTCCTCGCCTTCCTCCTGCCTCCTCCTCCCTCCTCTTCCCCCTGGTTACAGTGCTGTCCCCTGTTCAGAGAGCAGAGAAGGACGGCGTTATAGTTTTCGATTGACTCGGACGGAGCCACCTCATGTTCGTGATGATGCCAGTGCTGCATCAGCCACTTTATAAAAGGCCCTCCCGAGAGCTGGCTGCATTTTGGGAGGACTCCGCGAACTTAGTTATTCACGCGTTCTTCCTTTCTTTTCGGTCCTCCATTTTCTTCTCATCATCCTTTCCACGTCTTGTCTCCTCATTCATCCCTCCTCCTTCCTCCACTGTCCTCCTTATGTTTCTTCCTGTTTCTTTCTATCCACACACTTCTTTTATCGCCCTGCTCCTCCTCCAACCTCCTACTTCCATCCTCCTCTTTCCCTCCTCCTCCTCATGCTCTTCCCCCTCGTGCTCCTCCTCCTCCTCTCGCTTCCTCCTCCTGCTCCTCCTCCTCGCCCTCCTCTTCCTCCGCCTCATATTCCTCCTTTTCCTTCTCCTCCTCTTTTCCTCATCCTCCTCCTTTTCCTCCTTCTGATTATCCTCCTCTTTCTCCTCCTCTTTCTCCTCCTCTCTCCCTTCTGTCAGGCTAAAGATGTAAGGGTCGCGAATGAACCGAGGGCTTACCGCTATTCCGCGGCTGATCTCCAAATTCCGTCCCGCGCTGATTGATTGGTCTGGCGTTTTTGCTCGAAGGCACAGTATGGCTAGGGAATGGGCAAAGTGGCGTATGAGCAGCCGAGCTGAGGACGAAATGCTGGGTCGGTTGTGCTGCAAGGGCTGCAAGGACTACCAGGGACAACGCTGCTGGAACCCTGGGTCGTCCGACAAGTGCACGCGCTGTAAGATCCACGAGGCTGAGAGCTTCGGGGGCAACCGCTTTGGCAGGGAGCCGTCCAACACGGCCCCACGTACCATGGTGAACCAGCTCCAGAGCGAGAGCGGAAAACCTAAAACGCAGTTCTATGCGGGGCAGCGCAAGAGTTCCAGCAACAGCGAGGACATGCACATCGACGACAGTGAAGGAGGCAGCGACGGAGCAAGCGGCACCCCTCCCGGTCGAACTGAGCGCAAGATAGCCGACATTCTCACGCGTGAAACCAATTTCCTTTTCTTTCTCCAGCCACGCGAAGGAGGGAAGCTTATGGGGAACAGATCGCGAAGTTGAGAAACGAGCTGGACGGCCTTCGACGGAAGCTACACGACGCACAGCTATTGGGCGCGGAGCTTCGGACCGCCACGCTTGAGGTCAAGCGCTTCGAGACCACGCCCGCGAAGCAGGTGGATCCCGTCGAGTACTACCTTTCAAGGTCGAGCAGGCGGTCATGGAGCTGGACGGATCGAAGCAGAAGCATTGCAAGCACGCGCCAGACCTGGCAGCGGCGGAAGCCTGAGCCCAGACTCCTGGCAGCTTGTGAAGTGGTGGCCTCTGCTGATGGTGAGCGCGGCGATCCGTGCGAGGCGAGGGCCGTCGTCGCGCATTCTCTCGCCCAGAAGTTGGAGCAGAACGGCATCGCTAACGATCAGCCCAAGAAGCCCCCCGTCGACCATGGTCGCGCCTGCGCCGCGGCAGAAGGTGCCCATGTACGCTTGGCAGGGCGATGAAGGCAAGCCAGACCCGAAACAAGCTAGGGTCACCATCGGCATCGGCGCGGCATCAACGCCAGAGCTTGCCGAGTCTCTGGAAAAAAGGCGTGACCCGAGGACGCGGGGGGGGCCATGCCGCGTGGCATCGAGGGCCGTCGCGATGCTGCTCGTCGGGCCGCACGCTTCCCGATGGCAGGGGTTGGAAGCACAGCCGCGGGCGCAGCGGGCAAGTGAAACGATGGCGGAGCACGGCGGCGGGCGCAGCGGCAGGGGGGTGGAAGCACGGGGAGGCGGCCTCGCGGCCGCGGCGCAGCGGGTAAGTGAAATCCGAGCAGGAATCTCAAACATGGACGGCGACTTCGATCCCGTCGACGGCGACGGCGACGGGCTCCGCGAGGGCAGCGAGCGGGGCGCAGACGAAGTCAGCAGCGGCACTGCAGACCTGGCGCTCGGACGAGACAGGAACGGCATAGACGGCCCGCGCAGGCGCATGCAGAACGAAGGGCTTCGGTTACGTTGTCAGGGCAACATGCAGTTGACATTCCGGCGTGGCCCCCAACGCGGCGGCCCCCGGCGTGGAGTTCGGGCGCGCGCAGGACTCTGCCTGCCAGGACTGGGTCGCCGAACTATTCCAGGGCGCGCCCCCCAGCGCGGCGGCCCCTGGCATGGGCGGCGAATTCGGCGGAACATCCTGGTCAGAGCGACGGGGCGGGTGCTCTTCGCGCCTGGGTCTATAATGCGTCGCGGAGTTCCGCTGGAATGGCGTCCGAAGCGACCTGCCCATGAAGCACCCCTGCCAGGCCAAGGCGGCGGGCGGCCGCGCGCCGCGCGCAAGATGGCGCGGCGAAGCCGGCGCGGAGAAAGGCGCGCCTAGACCCGGCAGCGCCCTCGGGCCGAGTGGGCGCAAGTGGAGGAGTCCGCGCCGTCGCGAAGCCGGGGGGGGGCGCTCGCTAAGCGCAGTTGTTTCAGCCGCGAGTGCCACGGGGCTGTAAGCGAAATTCAGCCGAGGCGCTGGAAAGAAAAACTGCGCGGAGGAGTCGCAGTGAGAAGCGCTTGCCCGCGCAACAGCAAGGGCCCAACAGACGGTGACTGGGTGTCGCTGCATGCCCTCGCGAAGGTGGCGAGGAAGCTGCAGAGGCCATTCATCGCGGGCGGGGACTTCTCAACGCGCGCGCCGGCGAGCTCGAGATGTCAGGCATCCTCGGAGCGCCGCGGGCCGAGGAGATCGCGGCGGCATGGCCCGCGCGCGGCGACGCCGCCGACGGCCCAGCGTCGGGCGACTGGCTCATTCCGTCAGGATTGGGCATCCGGGCGGAGTGGATCCACGCGAGCTCGATCAGAGGCCGCAGACCAGGAGCGATGGTTCTCACGAACGCATCGATCGCGGAGACGGCGACGGACCACAGCGCCCGAGGAGTGTTCCAGCGCGAAAGCCATTCGAATCAGGGGGGCGAGCCAAGACATATTGGGAGACGGCGCGCGCGCGTCTACGCGAGTACGGATGCATGGAGAAGGCGCCAGCGCAGGGGCTCGCGGATTGGGGCTTGGGGCTCTGGGGCTCCGGCGCCAGCTCTAGAGGGGTGGGGGGCGAGTTGACGGCGAAATATCCCATCTGGGACGAAAGGGGCGACCCGGCGCAGAGGGCGAGGGCGCGAGCCGAAGTTTTCGCGGGTCCACCCGCGCCGCAAGACCGACGCTGCAGCGGCCCAAGCCTCGCAGGAAGCGAGGCAGGCACTGCGGTCAACGGACAGACTAGGAGACCTCAGCAAGGCGCTCGAGAAGTGCACGACGGGCCACTGGATAGCAGCGGCGAGGATCTAGCAGGTGCTCGGGATCTAGACAGGATCACTCAAGACCACTGCAGACTGGCAGTTCCTCGAGATGCACTGGAGATGGATCCGCTAGCGCGGCGCCGGCGACGTCCAGATGCCGGCTGGTGAAGCGAAGAATGTCGATATGAGGATCACTGGCTCCGTCGAAGCCACGAGCAGCAAGACGTTTGCGCGCCGAGAGGGGCACGGGCGATGGAGCGGGACTAGCACGCAGATGGACGAGAGGCCCCAACGGCACCGATGACGGGGTTTCCTCAAGTGGAGTTGCCGCGAACACCCAGGATGCAGCGGACAAGTTCTGCAAGGGATGGTTTCGGCAAGTTCGGGGCGTGAGCGATCCAGGGCCAGCTGCGGGATGGAACATGGATCTCGCGTCCGAGATGGAACAGTCCACGTCGATGCAGTTGAGAAAGGCGAACAGGGGCTTCAAGCCGAACGCCGCACTGGGCTGGGCAGGATCAAGTTCATCAGGAAGCGCGGAGCGAATGCTGGCAAGGCGGGCAGGATGGGCCAACAGCCGACCATGGCACGCGGTTCCATCGTGCTGGGCAGGAGTTGTTCGCAGCTACTGAACATACGGGCAGCGGTTGGAGCTAGCATGTTCACGGACACGGCACAGAGATCGGCGACGTGATCTTTCACGCTCGCGAAGAAGGGGTACGATCCAACGAACTTGGTCAGCATTATGCCGCTAACCGCGTGGACCACAGCTGTGTGGACGGGAATGATACCGATCAGGGCGCTGCAAAGCGCGCCAGACAAAGCCAAGAGCGTCCAGGCAACCAGATTACACCCTGGGGCACCAATAGTTTGCCTCCTCCACCTCGTCGTCCTCCTCCTCCTTCTCCTTCTCCTTCTGCTCCTCCTATTCCTCCCTCTCTGACGGAGCCAGGGCAGGCGCCACCAGTTACAGATCAATCCCGTGGACGACGCGTCTGCACCCATGGCCTTCTGGGACGGGGGGGCCTCCGGGGACCTCATCCACTCCGTCGCCCCGATTGGACAAGACTAGGTACGCGGGTGAGTCAGGATGGTGCCCTTGTGCGTTCCAGGGATCCGCCTTGCACCAGGTGCTGACACCTGGGCGTCGTGGGGAAAGCGGGCGTTTTCGCTCCGATTTCGGGTTTCGGAACCCTCACATGTTGTTCATGCTTGAGATACGTTGCAGAAATATGGAGTCGAGATTCTTCTTGATCGTGGTGTTTTCGCGACGCTGTGTAGACCACGACGTAGGCAAAACCTCGGGGCTTGCCGTGGTCCTTCACCTCCGCCTCGGCGAGTGGAGTCTCTTCTTTACCCTCTCCCCATCGCTGTCCGTGTTCATTATCATTCTTGCTGGGTCGTGCCGGCCGTGTCCATTTGGGCTCAAACCGCGGCGTGTCGGCGACATCCCTCCTGTCGTCCCAGAAACAAGGATAACGTAGTCTACATAAGCAGCAAGCTCGAGAGGGTACACGTGGACCTCGGAACGCTTCTGCCTATCAAGTTGTTCCTTGCTCGACTGCCGCCTGCCCTTTCTTGCGGGGGGCCTCGCTGCTGGCATGGTGTCCTCGCTGCCCCGCGGCGCGCGCGCCGAGCGCACCGAGTGCATGGCGTGAGCTCTCCACTGGAATGCCGGAAGCCCGGCCGTGCCCTCGGGCGGTTGCTTCTTCCTCCGGCTTGGCCGCCAAGAGGCGCGAGGGGACGAGGCAGTGGCGCACGGCGCCGCGGTCGTCCCGCGAGGCGTTTGGGACGCAAGTCAGCCCAAGCCTCTACTCGGGGGCGTCGGCCGACCACTCACCAGTCTTGGCTGGGCCGATCTGGTGCAGTGGATCGGCCTGGCAATGAGCGGAGAGGTGGTCGGTTGACGTCCCCCGAGCGGTTGTCCAACGACGCATCTCAAGCAAGGGCGAAAGCCAATCCGAGCCTGGTCGTTGCGACGATTAGCAGATGGGGAAGAGACGGGCAGTGGCAGCAGGCGATTTCGCTGATCCGCGAGGTGATGAAAGTGAAGATGGAGCTGGACGTCTTTACTTATAACTCAGGCATCAGCGCGTGCGGGAAAGGCCGACAATGGCAACAGGCCCTGTCGCTGCTCAGGGAGATGTGGGAGGAGATCGTAGAACCAGACATCATCAGCTTCGGCGCTGGGATCAGCGCGTGCGAGCAAGACGGAAGGTGGAGCGCTGACGGAAGGTGGCGGCAGGCTGTGTCATTACTCAGTGAGATGAGGGATGCGAACATGGTGCCGAACCAGATTAGCTACAACGCTGGGATCAGCGCGTGCGCGAAAGGCTGGCAGTGGCAGCAGGCTTTGTCGTTATTCAGTGAGATGGAGGAGGCGAAGTTGGAGCGCGGCGTTATTAGCTTCAATGTTGGGATCTGTGCGTGCGAAACAGGCGGGCAGTGGCAACATGCATTGTGGCTGGTCAGCGGCGTGCGTGATGCGAAATTGGAGCCCGACGTCTTCACTTACAGAGCAGGGATCAGCTCTTGCGCGAAACATGGTCAGTGGGCGCGGGCTATGTTGCTATTGAGCGAGATGCGGGATGCTAGTTTGGAGCCTAACGTCATCATCTACAGTGCAGGCATCAGCGCGTGCGCGAGCGAAGGGCAGTGGCATCGGGCGCTGCTGCTTCTCAGGGAGATGCAAGAGTTGAGGGTGGAGCCGAACGTCACCCCCCTTCTGCCATGCGGGGCCCCGCGTGCGCGAACCAAGTCTGGATTTCGAGCGGCTTCTCGAAGCCCGGGCAGCGCCGAAGAGAGCCTCCGCAAGCGGCCCCGGGACTTTCCGACACGCTCCCTACAAGTTCCCGGGGCTCCTCCGAATACGCCCGGATGTACAGTCGGGGCCCTGAAGAAGGAACCCTTTTCGTTGGGGAGGGGCTCCGCGTTCCTTAAGTGTTTCACAGCTTGCCTCAGGCTTTCCTTATGTCTTCGACAGGAAATCGAAGGTTAACTTATGGAAAAAAGGGGCCTCGTTCCTTATTTAGGGTTCCTTAAGTCAACGCCCCGACTGTACGGTCAGGAATTTGGGCTCAGCGTGTCGCGCCGCCAGTTCTGGCCCTCTGCGCTTCGGCGCGAGGCGCTATCCAGGTCCTGGTCGCCAACGTCCCGAGCCATTCCTGGCCTCCCACCCCGCGGAGCGGAGCGACACGCAATCCACTTGCGAGGCATAGCGTGTCGCTGGGGCCGCCGCGGCGACACGCTAGTCAAAAGTTCCTGACCGTAGGGTCGGGATAGATCTTTCCAGAGCGTCCCAGAACGCTCTCAGAGCGTCCCAGAGCGCTCTAGAACGGCTGCGGCGCCCGATACGGTGGGGGCGTCCGTTGACGAATGTGCCTAGGAGGCTTCAGACTTCGGGGGGTCCTTATCTCTGAGCGTGAATTACCTACCCCGCTTTCGCTTCCAGGCAAAACCAAGCCATACCACGCGCCTCCTCGTCAAGCGGCCTGACCAGTACAGGCCTCCAATTTGGCATCGTTTGGTATTTCTTGGAAGCGAGGGTGGTCAGAAGCGAGGTAGGTTTTGTTTTCCCCCTATTATCTGATGAGGGCGGTGCTGATATCCTCGGCCAAGCCGGCCAGCAGTTCCCACGACAGCACAGGGCGCTCCAAGGCGGCTCCAGGGAGGCTCCGCGCAGGGCCTCCGAGAGGCGAAGAGCGCTCGGTTTCCATAGGTGCACTGGCCGAGCATTCGGTGGACTTGAAACCATATCGGGGATGACGTGGTTGGCGTTTCTTAGCGGGCAAAGAACGGTATAAAGTAAACTGTTTCGCTGTCGGGGGCGCCTGTCCCAGGGCGGCTGGCAAGTTTATACCCTTACGGTGGCACCGTAGGGGTATAAACTTTCCAGCCGCCCAGGGACAGGCGCCCCCGACAGCGAAACAGTTTATTTTATACCGTTCTTCGCCCGCTGAGTTTCGGAAGATGAACGTCGGCCCCACACGTGGCCCCCAAACGGGACCCCCAAAGGCGGCCCTCACACAAAGCTTCCGAAGGTCGCCTCTGCTGCCCCCAGTAAGCGTGACCCCCGAACGTCACCCCCACGCGTAGCCCCCAGGCGCCCCCAAACGTGGCCCCCCCCCACACACAGCCCCCAACCATTGTCCTCAAACGCGACCGTCACATGTGCCCCCGAACCCCGCACGCGGCCCCCAAACATGGCCCCCGGCAGGGCCGCGAACGTTGCCCCCAACCATGACCCCCTGACGAGACCCCCCCGTGGCCCTCAAACGAGGCCCCCCAACGTAGCCCCCAACTCTGGCCCCCACGCGTCCACCCCCAACATCGAACTCCTCGCGCACAGGGACACTGAAAGACCGCTCGGGCCCCCTTACTCTGACTGCGTCTGAAAACCTACGTGTTTCGGCTAATCGCGCCCAGGCCTCGCGCGATTTGCAAAACACTTATTATTACTTTTGACGCTTCCAGCGCTTCCGACACGTGCGCGTTCGGGACCAACGCCTGGACCTGCGGGCCGCGGATTTTCCACGGGTTCGCGCTCGTCACCTACAACGCTGTGGTCGCGGCGTGCGAGAAGGGTGAGCAATGGCAGCGGGCTCTGGCGCTGCTCCGCGAGCTGCGAGAAGCGAAGCTGGAGCCCGACGGCATCTGCCCTGTACATGGCCAGGAGCGGCGCGTGCCCTCGGCCCGATCTGGCGGGGAGCGGCGCGTGCCAGAAGGGTATGGGCGGAAAAATATGAAAGATCCCGGCCGGCCGGCCGGCCCCGGAAGGCCTCCCCCCCTCCCCCGCAGCGGGCCCCCTCCGCGCCTCTGGGCGGCCCCCGCGCGCCCCGGAGCCCGTGGACGGCCCGAGACGGGCCAAGACGTCCCCAAGACGGCTTCCAGACACTCGTGGACAGCCCAAGACATCCCCAAGACGCCCCCAAGACGCCCCCAAGACGGCCCCAAGACGGCTCCCAGATGCTCTGAAGTGTCTCCGGGTGGCCAGACAGCAGGCCGGGAGGCTTCCAAGAGAGCCCAGGGCGACCCCGATGACGGCCCGAGGCGGCGAAAAACATTGCTTCTCCGTCGGTGTTCCAAGGATTCCAGGTTCTCGCCATTCACCGCTCAGAACGATCCAAGACGGCTCGAGGCCCTCTCAGGCAGGTCCGGATAACATTCAAAGTTCTGCACGCCAAGGCGCCCAAGAACGAGCGGTGACTGGAGGCAGAGGGCTTCACGGGCTTCAAAAACCCAGGGATGCCCTATCAGCACATCCCAGAGGGTCCAGGGGAGACGCCTGCGCCGCCGAAGGGCGCCAGACAGTAAGCAGCAACATGGGCGCGTATTCCCTTTGCTGGTGGCTCGCAGATCCAGCGCACCCTTCGCCACTGCCGCCCAAGTGAGGAGAGAAAGACCAGAGGCCTCTGGGGAGTGCAGTCACCAACATAATCTGGTCCCAGAGGCGCGCGGAGACGGCGCCGACAAGTACGCAGCTCACTGTGTTCACTGTGGTCAGCGCGTGCAAGAAGGGCGATCGGTGGGAGCGGGCTCGGGCGCTGCTCAGGGAGATGCGTGGGGCGAATCTGGAGCCCAACGCCGTCAGCTACAACCCCGGGGCCAGCGCGCACGAGAAAGGCAAGCAATGGCAGCTAGTTTTGGCGCAGTTGAGGGCAATGTGGAAGGCGATGCTGGAGCCCACCGTGAACAGCTACCTCGCTGGGATCAGCGCGTGCCAGAAGGGCGAGCATCGGCAGCAGGCTCTGGCTCTGCTCAGCGAGATGCGGGAGGCAAAGCTGGAGCCCAGCGTTATCAGCTACAACGCTGGGACCGACGCGCGCGAGAAGGACGAGCGGTGGAAGCGGGCTCTGGCGCTGCTCAGCGAGATGCGGGAGGCAGAGCTGGAGCCCAACGTCGTCTCTCCTATGTTGCAGAAGCCCGCGCGTGCGAGAGGGGCCTTGGGCCCAGTGATGGAGAAACTCGGCCAAGCAGGATCGGGCGCGCCCCTGAGCGATCCTGGGGCGCTCCAAGACGGTCTGGGAGGATCCCAAGAAGGCCGCAAGACGGTCCAAGAGAGGCCCCAGGCAGCCGAGGAGGATTCGGAGATGGCCGAAGGAGCCCCAAGACGGTCGAAGAGTGCACCAAGACGGCCCAAGTTGGCCTCCAGACGGGCCAAGAAGCCCTAACAACACCAGAGACGATTCAAAAGCCTTAGGAGCGCCCAGACGGCCCCAGGAAGCCTGGGGTGTCCCAAGGGAACCAAACAAGCTTCAAAGTCTGCTCCCTAACAAGGCCTTAAGCTTGTTGCAAGGTAGCCCTGAGTGCAACCCAAGAGGGGACCAAGCGTGCGGCTGCACGTGCGTCGATTCCACTGGGTGAATCATATTCTGGCCCCACCTCCAGCTTGGCTGTTCCCACCCACCCTCCCACCTCCTCCCTCCTTGACTCCCTTCCAGGGGTCGACCTGAACGGGGTTTGGGCGATCTCGTGGGCCGTTTTCGTTTCGCTTTCGTTTTGCAGCACAGGCGCAGTGAAGGCAAAGAGCGAGGGAAACGAGAGCAGAACGAAGATCAACAGCTCCGTTGAGGTCGATCCCTGCTTCCTCCTCCCTCCTCGCCTCTCTCTCTCTCTCTTCCTCTCACTCTCTCTCTCTCTCTATCTATATGTCTCTCTCTCTCTCTCTATGTATATCTGTCTCTCCGTAGGCCGTCGGCTCTCCCGCCTCGCTCCTTGGTCCTCGTGGATTGCTCCTCGCCTCTCCCTCTCCCTCTCCTCCTCGATCCCAACTCCTCGCCCCCTGCTCCTTGACGGTCTGCGGTCGGACCGAGGCATGAGATCGAGGTCGGTGCGGAGAGGGTGCCCTGATGTTCTTCGTGCTTGCTGAATGTTCTTGTGCATCGCGGGGGAGGGTGCCCTCGACGGTTCTGCAGTTTGGCTGGCGGAGGGCCTCGTGTTCTTGAAGGATGCTCTTCTGTCCTGGGTCCGGCCGTCACCCTCGGCTGGCTGCGTTCGCAAGCAGACGTATATTTGGAGGCAGCACCCTACGAGCAGCATGCAGCAGGCAGAGCCGGCAAGCAGCAGCACCCTGCGGCTACGACCAGCAGCAGCAAGCAGCAGTTGACACCAGCAGTGGCCGCCAGCAATGGCTCCAGGCCATCAGCATCAGCAAGCACCAGCACCATGCAAGAACAGCACGTCTCGGTGGCCAGAGTCATGCGCAGCACGCAGCCCAAGCATGCAGCAGCACGCAGCAGCAGTCGAGCAACATCAACCAGCACGAAGCAGCAGCACGCAGCAGCACCGAGACGCAGGAATCCGCAGCACGCACCAGCAAATACCAGCCAACGGCGGCAAGGAACAGCGAGCAGCAGCGAGCAGTTGCAAGCAGTAGCGAGCAGCACCAAGCAGCAGCAAGAAGGCAGTAACGCGGTAGCGAACGGACGAGAACGCGATGGCGCGAGCACCACAGAGGAGGCGAGCAGGCCACGAGCTGTCATGCCTCCACGCTGGCAAACATTGCAGGGAGGAGTGCAGGCAAGCAGATCAGTGGTGTTCACCGCTGCACGCGGGTAAGCTTTCGCGGCCGTCGGGAGGGCTCCCGTCCGATGAAGCCGCTCGCCGTCATCCTCGGGCCCACCCTAACCAATCTTCTACGACTTGGGAATCAGCGCGTGCAAGGATGGCGGGCAGTGGCAGCAGGCGTTGTCAATGCTCTGCGAGGCGCGGGAAGCAGCCTTGGAGCTGGACATGGCCAGCTACAATGCTGTCATCACCGCCTGCGATAGAGGTGGGCATTGGCCGCTCGCGCTGTTCTTGCTCAGAGGGTTGTGGGGCATGAGTGTGGAGCCAGACGTGATCAGCTACAGTGCTGGAAGCAGGGCTTGCGAGACTGGCGGTCAGTGGCAGCAGGCACTGGCGCTTCTCGGCGAGATATGTGAAGCGAGGCTAAAGCCGAACGTTATCTGCTACAACGCTTGGATCAGCGCGTGCGAGACAAGCGGTCAGTGGCAGCAGGCGTTGTCGTTGTTGAGCGGTATGTGGAATGCGAAGTTAGAGCTCAACATCATCAGCTGCAACCGTGGGATTGGTGCTTGCATGAAGGGCAACCAATGGCAGCGAGTTATGCTGCTTCTCAGTGAGATGCGGGATGAAAAGTTGGTGCCGAATGTCATCAGTTACGGCGTTGCGATCTGCGCGTGCGCGAACAGTGGGCAGTGGCAGCAGGCATTGTCGGTATTCAGATTGATGGGCGAGGAACGATTGGAGCCAGATGCCATCAGCTACAATGCTGGGATCAGCGCTTGCGGGAAAGGCTGGCAGTGGCAGCAGGCTTTACTTTTGCTTGGTGAGATGCCAGAAGCGAAACTGGAGCCGAACGTCATCAGCTACAGCTCTGGGATCAGCGCTTGCGGGATAGGCGAGCAGTGGCAGCAGGCTTTGGCGCTGTTAAGCGAGATGCGTGAGTTGAAGGTGGAGCCCACCGCCATGACTTCTGTATTGTCCGAGGCAACGCGGTAATCAAGGCTGTGCAGTGGCCGAGAGGTATGGCCAATGCCACCTCCAGAGACGTTCGAGCAGCCTCAGGGCACCCCAAGACAGACTCAGACAGCCCGAGGGCTCCCGAGAGATTCTGAGGGCAGCCACAGGTGCCCCAAGGGTCCCGAAAGACAGCCCACGATTCCTCTGAGAGGGCCCCAACAGTAGTCACATGCGAAAGGAGAGCCCGGCGGCAGCGTGCACGAAGACGACCCGATCGACGGACGAACAATCATTATGACATCGGAGGTGCGAGCACTGTGTGCCGCTCCCCCAACCCCCCGAGGGCTTGGCGATCCGGTGCCGTCTCCCACGCACCAGCAAGCACCAGTCAGTAGCGGCATGGGCAGCAAACAGCAGCTGGCAGCAGGCGAACAACACGGAACGGTAAAGCCAGCCGCAGTCAGCGGACGAGCAAGAAATGACGCAAGCACACACGCAGGCGAGCAGGCTGCAAGTTGTCAGGTCTTTTCACTTGTTCTCCCAGATGTTAAGTTGTGCGGTGTGCGCTGCACTCCTTACCACTGCACGCGGGTGCCTTGAGTTCCTCTTTAGCTTTAGGGGTACACATTGTTCATTTCTAATTCTTCGGAAGTTCTTTGATTCTTGGGGGGCCATGATCCTTTCATTTCTAATTGTTCTATCCTGGGCCTCTTCCTGGCCACTAGGGCCTCTAGGGGGCCAGGAACAATTAGAAACGAACACAATTAGAAATGAGCACGATTAGAAATGAACGACGTGTACATGCAGTCCAGCGGTGTACCTGCCAGGTGATGGCTACCTGTAGTCCAGCGGGGGGCGGTACCTGCAGTCCAGGGAGCGGGTGCCTCTCACGAGGGGATGCGTGTAGTTGTCGCGCGGGGTTGTGACCTATCGCGCGGGGACGATTTGTCGGCGTCACACAACCATACTTATATTACATGTGCGTCGCACCCCCCAGGGGCGACGCGCGCACCGAGAAATCTTATAGTATATGCGTCGTGGCGGGCGCTTTCTGGCCACACCGCTCGGGAAACGATGTACTACAAGGTGGGTATACTATATGTTTGGGTCGGACGCGCGCCTCTAAGGAGAACCGATAGTACTAGTATGTCTTTGTGCGTCCCAATTTAGGGGGGCACTTGCAGTCCGGGGAGGGTACTTGTAGTCTGAGGGGGGCTGGCCTCCAGTTCAGGAGGTGTGAGACATGCAGTCCAAAAAGAAAGGGTATTTGCAGTCCGGGGGTGCACGACGACCAGGCCCTAAAAACATTGACGGGATCAGACATAGTTTTCGTTGATGGTCCGGGCCAACTCCAGTCAGCTACAATGCTGGAATCAGCGCTTGCGAGAAAGGCGGGCATTGGCACCAAGCCGTGACGTTGCTCAGCGACATGCGGGATGCCAAGGTGGAGCCGAGTGTCATCAGCTACAGCACTGGGATCGGTGCGTGCGGGAACGGTGAGCAGTGGGGCCAGGCTCTGTCGTTGCTTAGCTTGATGCGGGAGACGAGACTGGAGCTTGGCGTCATTAGCTACAATGCTGGGATCAGCGCCTGCGGGAGAGTCGAGAAGTGGCACTATGCTCTCTCCCTGCTCAGAGAGATGTGGCAGACGCTTTTGGTTCCGAGCGTCATCAGCTACAATGCTGGGATAAGCGCGTGCGGGAGAGGAAGCTACTGGCACCAGGCTCTGATGTTGCTCGGCGAGATGCGGGGAGCGAAGCTGGAGCTGGACGTCATTGGTACTACAATTCTGGTCGATGCGCGTGCGAGTCGCGCCAGCAGTGCGCCAGCTGCCCCCGATCGCCCGGAGCGCCACGCCGCTCACCGACGGCTCCAAAGAGCCCCCAGATGGCTCCAACACGGCCTCAGGCAGCCCGAATATCGCTCCGAGACGCTCATGGAGGGCGCGAGGACGTCCCAAGAGAGCCCGAACGGAGCTCCATGACAGCCCAGGACGGCCCGACGACGGGCCAGGTGCCTCCGAAGACGGCCCAGCCAGACCCCGATGACGGTCCCCCGAGGCTAAAGTCATAGATTTTCTTCAGGTTTTGTAGATGTCCCATGTTCTCCCTACTCCGGCCCAAGGCTCTGGGGCCATCCCCGATCGCCCCGAGACGGTCCATGAGGTCCCGCCAAGTTCCCTGAGACGACCCCAGAGGGCTGGCCCGAAGGTTGCCCAGGGGAAACCCAAGACAGCCTCATAGAGCCCCTGGTGGCCCCTTCGACAGCCCCAAAACGGCCCTAGGAGCTGGCCAACAGGCACCAAAGCGAGCTCCAAGACGGCTCGAGACCCCCTAATGGCCCCAGGACGGTCCAAGAGGCCCCCGAGACGGCCTAAGAAAGCTCCGAAATGGGCCAAGATGGCCCCTAGGTCGAAGAGGGGCCACAGGGAGCCCAGACGACGCCCTTCCCGCAGCCCACGATGGGCCAAGAACCCTCCGAGGACTATTCCCACATGCCCCAGAGCCTCCCGAGAGACTCCGATGGTTCCCGGGGAGCTCCCAAGGCAGGTGCCTCAAGCCGCGGCAACTTTTCGCCGTCTCTCGGACCCCAAATGCCCCTAAGAAAGCCTCAGACTCCCAAGGCAGGCCCCATCCCAAGAGACTCCGGTAGTCGCCAGAGGGCTCCCAAGATCGATCCCAGGGCCACTCCGAGATGCCCTGGAGTCGCCCAACAGTCTCCGACGTTTGGCAAGAGACTCCGACAGTTCCCGCGGAGCTCCCACGAGAGGTTCCAGGAAAAGAGACTCCCACTGTTCCCGACGGAGCTCCCAAGAGCGACCCCAGGACCACTCCGAGATGGCCCAGAGTCGCCCTCGAGACCTCCCCCCCCCACGGCCGAGTGGGCGCGACAGGGGGGGCCTCTCCTCTCATCTATTCCTCCTTCCCTCGTCGAGGCTCCGGCCGCTCTGAGGCCTCCACTCCGCCTGTCAGGGGTGCAGGGGGGACCTGCAGCCACTTCGGTCTCTCACCCTCTGCGGCCGATTAGGGGAGACAGTGGTGGGGGCCTGAAGACACTGCGGGGACCAACATCTCGCTCCCCCCCCACTGCCGAGTAGAGGCCTGGGTGGCCCCCAAGACAGCCCCAAGACCAGGAGATCCGTCCCTGGGCCACTCCGAGATGGCGCAGACCCCCCAGGTTGTTTGAAGACAGCCTCCAGCTCCGGCTCCCGGAGCCTGCAGCGAACCCTGCAGCAAACCCTGCAGCTAACCTCAGGGGTGACAGGGGGCACCTTCTGACAGCAACCTCACAGCATGCACGCACAAGAAGTTTCCCGGGCTGTCCCCCAGAAGTGGCTCTGAGAGACAGCCCGGGAACGGCCCCAGAGGCGCCCCAACATTGCAAGAGGCCTTCAAGACCCCCCAGACAGGCTCGCAGGAGGGCCCAACATGCCCCCGACACCGCCCCAGGGACGCCCGAGCTGTTCAGCTTCAACGAGCTGTTCACCCACGGTGTGCGAGTCCCAGGTTCAGCACGTCGCGGATTTATCCCACGGGTTCACACTAGTCTTACCTACATTGCGAAAAGGGCCTGTCAATCAAAATCGGGGCAAACGCCCCCGGGCGCCTCCGGCGAACTCGAGGACGAAATTCAACGCGCCTTCTTCGCCCGAGGACGAGATTTCGTGCGAACGTGCCGTGTTGACTTTTGTCCGCGCCCCTAGGGGCCGAGCGCTGAGGCCCCGGCCCTAGCGTGGACAAGATTTAACGCTGCCCAGGCGGTGAATATTGTCCTCCGGCACACACGAAGGCGCCGAGTCGCCCGATTCTCGAAATCCGAGGGCTCCAGCGACACTCCGAAGAGGCCAAAATCATGCATCCCCTTCAGTGTTTTAAATATTGTTCAGCTGCTTCAGCATTTGAAATATTATTTCAAGTTGATTTAGAGATTTCCCTGCGTTTCCAACGCACCCCTCAAGCTTTTTTCAGGCTCCGGCCGCCGGTGATGCCCGCAGGGAGCCCCGGAATGGCTCCAGACGGCCCCAGACACCCTCAAGGATGGAGGCCAAGGCCGCCACAGTGCGCGGTATGACCGCTCGAGGGCGAAATTTGACGCGGGGCTTGGGCCCGAGACCGAGAGTTAACGTGAGGGTCCCGCGCCCCCCGAGCTTGAGGACAACAGTTGGCGCGAGGGTGGCGTGTTAAATTTGATCCGCGGCTCCCGGGGTCCATCGCTGAGGCCTCCGGCCTGCTGCGGACAGATTCAACACATTGCCCAGGCGTTAAATGTTGTCCTCAAGCTCTCCCTGGATCCAGGAGCGTCTCGGCGCAGAAGGACAGGAGATGCGCTCTTCGGAAAGAAAATCCCCCCCCTTCTGTGCTGAAAGGTCTGGCCACAGGCGCGTCAAATCCATTGGGAGATTCGCGTGCTTGTCGTTCGTGGGCCCTCTCTCCTCGCCCCCCTCGCCCACTGCTCAACGCGCCTTTCTCTCCTTGCTCGTCTCCCCTCGCTTGTCCTCGCTCGTGTCTCCTGCCCCCCGTGGCACCTTCCGCACCCGCAGGGCCGCTCCCGGCCTCGGAGTGGCCCGGCGCGCCTCGAAGGCGGCCCACAGAGTTCAAGTTCAGGAAATGTCGATCTGCGTTGAGGTAAAGAAGACTGATAAATGCTTGGACGGCCAAAGATTGCCAGAGGTACGTGCGTCGACATCGGGCGAAGAATAGCGGGCAGCCCTGACTGAGGGGGGGGGGATGGGGGGGGGGGTAACGCAACGCTCCATCACAAGATGACCTCAAGACTGTCCCAAGCAGCAAGCGGCAGCGAGCGGAGGAGCAAGCAATGAAGCAAGCAGCCAAGCAATTGTTGACGCTTCACGAATCCCCACCAGCCCATTCAGAAACGATGCCCAGAGGAATTGCCTCGATCAGGGAAGTGGGCAGCAAACAGAGGAAGCCATTCAGAGACATCTTGGGATATCTTGAGCCATCTTGGAGGTCATCTTGGGCTCTCCCAGGCGCTCTTGGAGTCATCTTAATCAGTGCCCCCCCAAGAAGCCAACATGTGGCTAAAGCCTTTTGTAAAATCAATGATTTGGCATTCTCGCCGAGGCCTCTTGGAACATCTTGGGTGCCTCTGGGGGGTCTCTTGGGGCCTCTTGGGGGTCTCTTGGGAGCCTCTTGGGGCTTCCTGGCAACCTCTTGGGGCCCTCTTGGGGCACCCTTGGGAGCTTGGGGGGCCATCTTTGGGCCATCTTGGGTGAGATCGATCACAGGAGAGGGGGGGTGTCTCATTAGCGTCCCCCCCCTCCAGGAGGCCAAAATGGGGCCATAACCCTAGTAAAACCAATGATGTTGGCTTTCTCGCCGAGGCCGTTTTGGACGCTCCGACGACTCGCAGAACCCCCTGTCCAGGTCCAGGGGAGGGGGTAGGGGGAGGGATCAAGACCCCTTCCCCGCCCGCAAGCCGTCTCGCTCACTCCAACCCGCGCTCCCAACACATACGTAGCACCCGAGCCTGGCCCGAGCCGCAGCATATGCAGCAGTCGTCTCTGGATGGGCAGCTACTGGGGGCGAATCCGCCGCCGTCGCCGCCTCCGCCGCCGCCGCCGCCGCCCGCCGCCGCCGCCGCCGCGCCGCCGCCGCCGCCGCCCGCCGCCGCCCGCCGCCGCCGCCGCCGCGCCGCCCGCCGCCGCCGTCCGCAACCGCCGCCGCCGCCGCCCCGCGCTGCCGCCGCCGCCGCCGCCGCGTCGCCCCCGCTGCCGAATCACCGCAGTCGCAGCCGCTGCCGCCGCAGCCGCGCCGCCGCCGCTGCCGCCGCCGCCGCCACGGCCGCCGCCGCCACCGCCCCCGCCGCCGCCGCCCCCGCCGCCGCCGCCGCCGAAGCCGCCGCAGCCGCTGCCCCCGCCACAGCCACCGCCGCCAAGTGTATGCTGTGTTGTTTTTTGACAGGGATGGGGGAGGCCACATCGGGTTCGCTGCGCATGCTCAGGATTTGGAGGCAGAGTGTGTTTTGTATTGTTTTTTACGAGGCATGGTGGGGGGTGCCCGCATTGACACTGGTTGGCCCCCAGTCGCCTGGGGGAGGGGGTGTATATTAATAGGGGCTAGTGATAAGCCCCTCCCCGAAGGGGAAGAAGGAGGGGTGGAAGAGGAAACTCCCTAAACCACCTACGCCCAGAGGGCTGGTGGGATTAGGTGATCAGACTACAAGCGTAGGCCACCCGGCCAGCAACGTCGCTGGCAGCATTGCAGACAGGAAATCGCACATATAATCGATCGAACCTCACCCTTGCATGCGAGTAAACTTTAGTGGCCGCTGGGGGAATTGTGACCAGATCGGGCCGCATGCTGTGGACGTAAGTCCACGGGTCTGCCCTAGTCAGCTACAATGCTGGGATCAGCGCGTGTGGGAAAGATGGGCAGTGGGTCCAGGCTCTAGCGTTGCTCGGCGAGATGTGCGTGCTGAACTTGGTGCCAAACGTCATCAGCTACAATGCTGGGATCAGCTCGTGTGAGAAAAGCGCTGAGTGGCAACACGCCTTACTGTTGCTCAACAGTATGAAGGAGGCGAGTTTGGAACCGGATCTCATCAGCTATAATGCTGGGGCCAGCGCGTGCGAGAAAGGGATACAGTGGCTACATGCTCTGTCACTGGTCAATGAAATGTGGGCGTTGATGTTGGTGCCAGATGTCGTAAGCTACAGCGCTGGGATAAGCGCGTGCGAGAAAAGCGGCCGTTGGTACCAGGCTCTGTCGCTGCTCAGCGAGATGAGGCAAGCACAGATTGAGCCAAACGTCATCAGCTACAGCGCTGGGATCAGCGCGTGTGCGACTGGCGGACAGTGGCAACTGGCTCTCTTGTTGTTCAGCGAGATGCTGCATGCGACGTTGAAGCCGGACGTGATCAGTACTACAAGCTCCGGTTAAGTGCTTGCGAGACGGACGGGCAGCAGAT